AGAGGAAGTGGGGGGAGGGTCCGCCCCCTGGAGCAGCTCCAACCGTCCTCTGTCTCTCCCCCCCCCCCTGCCAGTGTCTCTACGGCTGCTACGTCCACTCGGCCATCGTCCCGACATTCCACCGGCGCTGCTACTGGCTGCTGCAGGTACCTGTCTGGAAATGGGAGGGGGGTGACCCCGTAGGTAAGTGGGGGTGGTTGAGCCCTGGTCCTCTGAGGCAGGCGTTTCCCCAAGGTGACTTCTGCCAAGAACAGCGGCGGCTGCTCTTTCCTGCCTTTCCCCGGGGGCAGAGTAGGAGGGCCCCCCCCCCCGGACTGTGGGGCAGAAAGGGCTTCCGACAAATGCAGTTGGGTAAGGCTGGGCTGTGCTTTTCTTGCCAGGCCCCGAGGGTCCCGGTCCACCCCCCACCCCCCGCACTGTCCCTTACAAGGACTGAACTCCAACCTGTCAGTGAGGCCGGAGCCCAAACGGACCGGCGGAACTGATGGGAACGGGCGCTTTGGTGACAGGGAAAGCGCTGAAATGCTCCTCCGTTGGAGTGATCCCCATGGCTGGAACACCTTCCCTACAAAGAGAGGCTGAAGGCGGGGGTGGGTGGGTGGCTTTTGGGGTCAGTAAAAAGCTCCCGGCGGTGGGGGCAAGATGGGCATTTATAAAATGGTGCACAGCACAGAGACGATGGCCGGAGAGGAAGCGTTTCTCCCACTCACATCACACGAGAACGTCGGTTGCCCAATGAAACCCATCCACAGGAGGTCCAGTCCACGTTGCAGAGCAATAGGGGTCCACGAAGGGACCAGTGCTCCCTCTCAGCTGAGTGAGTGTGAGCGAGCTCCCAGGTTTTTTAGCCTCCAGCTCACACATTTCTGTCTCAGCTCAGGAAAGAGGGCTCCAGAAGACCAAACTAATTTACGCAAGAGCCCAGTCGCTGGCTCACAACCTCAATGCCAGGAGCTCACAGAATAGGATTTCTGCCAGCAGGACTCCACAGCTGAGAGGGAGCCTTGGAAACGACTCAGCTCAGTGGGGAATGGCTGGCGGAGGGGGCTTGGGGAGCCTCGAGGGCCCAGGGGGGACGGCGGGGAAGAGGGCCTGCGGGGGTCCAGCCGCCCTGTTCCGCCCCCCTGAGCCGCCGTCATTTGTTTCTCTTGTTGTTCCTTTATGGATGGATCATGACAGAGTCCGACAGTAGGAAAGGAACCAGTAGCCACCCCCATTTCTCCATTTATTTCGGGCAGCTGCCTGCCTGCCTGCCTACCTGCCTGCCTTTTTTAAAACCGAGCCGCCCTCCACAGCAGATGACTCAGCAACAGATAAAAGCCCTGGGAAGACAGGAAGGAGGACCGGCCACGGGAGCCCGTAAAAATAGCAGAGGCAGGATTGGAACCGCAGCCCCAGGATCGCAGCCACGGTCCGGGTCACGAGGGGGCAGGGGTGGGCTTGCCAGGCACCTGCGAGGAGGCGGCATCTGCCAGGCATGTCTCGCAAGGCGTCTGGGCGGGCGCGGGGGGGGGGGGGGTGAGCAGCTGGTCTGTGCGGGAGAGGGCTGCCCGGTAGGTACCCTGGCCAGTGGGAAATTGTCTCAGTGGAGCCTCCAGGGTCCGAGGCAGTGTACTTCCCGTTCGCAGTTGCGGAGGGGGAGGGGAGGGGGGGCCTTTTTGCCCAGCTCAGGAACGGGTTTTACTGATTCATGCACAGAAAACATTTATTAGCCACCTTTCTGCTTCAAAGGAACTCAAGGTGGCTTACAATGTAAATAATAATATAATACAAAAAACCCACACAAGTTAAAATCTGTAATTTAAAACTGCCGAGAGGCAAGAAGACTATACTGGGGTGCAGTCCTGAATAAGACCCCTCTTCAGCTGCCTTCTAAAGATCGGAAGTGAAAGAGTCGGGCGCACCTCCCTGGGGCGGTTGTGTCGTCATTGTGGGGCTGCCCCCGAAAAGGCCCTTTCTTGCGTGCCCAGCAGTGCTCCCTCTCAGCTGTGGAGTCTGGTGAGCAACAATTCTACTTTGTGAGCTACTGGCATTAAAGCTGTGAGCCAGCGATTTGGCTCCTGCATCAGCTAGTTTGCTCTGGAGCCCTCCTTCCTGAGCTGAGACAAAAATCTGTGAGCTGGAGGCTAAAAAACTGTGAGCTAGCTCACACTAACTCAGCTTAGAGGGAACACTGGTGACCACCAAAGGAGCCTCTGGGGTTGTTGGGGACGGTCTGGAGGGCCCCTCCCTCCCTGCGACCTGCATTCCTGGGCAGGAGATGCTCCTTCCGATGACCCCAGTCTCAAACCATGTAGGGCTTTAAAGGACAAAGCCAAGAACTGGGCTGGTGAGTGGGGGAGCCAGCGCCCTTGCTGTAGGATCAGGATTAGGGTCACATTCTGCTCTGGCCTCAGCCGTTGCAAGAGGCCCGTCCTGTGGTTGGCCACAGTGGGAGACCCGGTGCCGGCCAGGGTGCCCTGGGTCTCCCTCCTGGGCGCAAGGAACCACTGCTGGGGCTGGAGCAACTGGGATCGCTGGCAGTGATCCCTCTAAGCTGTGGAGTCCTGTGAGCAAAAATCCTACTTTGTGAGCTCCTGGCATTAAAGTTGTGAGCAGGCGATTTGGCTGCTGCATCAATTAGTCTGCTCTGGAGCCCTCCTTCCTGAGCGAAGACAAAAAGGTGTGAGCCGGAGGCTAAAAAAACTGTGAGCTAGCTCACCCCAACTCAGCTTAGAGGGAACCCTGAAGATTCTCTGGCAGAGGGTTGGTGGGAATAAGGGCAGCCCAGTGGGTGTGTTTGCCTTCCCGGAGGCCGTGAGCCCCCGCCCCTCTGCTGTGGAAGCCCGCTCGGTCCTGGCGGTTTCTGCTTCCCCCTTCCCCAGCTGGTCTTCTCCCCCCCCCGCAGAACCCGGACATTGTGCTGGTGCACTACCTGAACGTCCCGGCCATCGAGGACTGCGGGAAGATCTGCGGCCCTGTCCTCTGCTCCATCAACAGCGACCGCAAGGAGTGGCTGAAGTGGTCGAAAGAAGAGCTGGTCGGGCAGCTGGGGGTGGGGGTGGTCACTGCAGGGACAGGCTGGGGAGGGAGAGAGGCTGCTGGCCAGCAAGGTGCAGCCTGGGGGGAGCTGTCGTTATTTATTAATGGAGACGTATAGAACTCATTGCCACTGGATATTAGCAAAACGGAGGACCTTGTTATCCAGATTCTGGGGATACGTTTGTGGTGGATAAGTCTGTGGGTTGCTGGTGGCTCTGGAAGCCCACTAGAACACCCACATTCAAAAGCAGGCCACCTCTGACGGGCCAGTAAGAGTGACGTGGAGACTGCCGCTCTCTATTGTTCTTCAGGGCGTGCTGAAGCTGATGGTACTGGCAAGCAAAGGACCCTGGGAATTGTAGTTCTCCAGGGCTCCTGGGAATTGGGAATTGTAGTTCTCGAGGGCTCCTGGGAATTTCTTGAGACAGTCCCCCCCCCCCCGGCGCGCGTGACTTGCCCAGGACCCAACGGCGCTTTGGGGGAATACCACACAGGTTTTCCTTGACTTCCCTGTGATCTTTTCTGAACCTGCTTTGCTTCACTGCTTTGAGGAAGACCACAGCAAGGCTGGGCTGGCTGCCGCGTGGGCGGGAACATCTGGGTTTCCTAGCTCCCCGTTTTCCCTGCTGGAGGAGGCCCCAGGGCAGCCACCCCCCACCCCCCCACCCCACTAAGGAGCTGTTTCAGGATTGTCGGTTTTAAATTGCCAATTGGCAAATCGATATAATCAGGGGTCATTTCCTGCGGGAGTGCACAGGAGCGGAGCTCCAGCAGTAAGGAGCCCAGGGGGTGGGCACATGCAGCAAGCCCCGCCCCTGCTCCCAGCAGCCCTCAGTCGGGCCACAAGGAGCAAGAAGCAGCCAGGTACGTTGCAGAGCCCCCCCCCTTCAGGTACAAGCTCTCCCTCCTCTTTGAGGACAGATCTGCATGTTCCCCCCCCCCAATAGCTAGCAATCCAAAACAGTCCAGTGGAGCCTGAGCGGTGGGTGTTGCCATCTGACACACTTCCGGTGATGTCAGGGGGCGTGGCATATGCAAATGAGTTATGCTAATGAGCTCCTGCACCTCTTTTTCTACAAAATGACCCCTGGATATAACGGTATGTCAGGACATATCCACTTTCTAAAACCCTGAAAAGACAGCATGGGTGGGGTGGGGGTTTGACTGGCTGCCAAGGGGACTGGGGCTGCCCCCCAGAAGCCCCCTTGCCAGATGGGGACAGGCTGCCGGCCTCCAGGTGGGGCTGGGGCGCTCCCAGAATCGCACCTGAGCTCCAGACCCCAGAGATCGGTCCCCCTGGAGAAAAGGGCTCGTTTGGAGGGTGGGCTTTCGGGCCGTGTGCCCTGCGGAGGCTCCTCCCCTCCCCAGACTCGCCCCCCCTCCCAATCTCCAGGTATTTCCCAACCTGGAGTTGGCAACCTGAGGGCCCGTGCAAAAGAGTGGGCGTGTGCGTGGGGGAGAAGTGCAGCCGCGGAGCTCACGCGCACCCTCCGGCCGCGGCCGCTCTCTCTCCCCCCCACAGTCCACGGCATCAAGTGGACCTGCAGCAACGGGAATGGCACGGCGGAGTTCTCCATTGAGCAGCTGGTCCAGCAGATCCTGGAGAGCCACCAGGCCAAGCCCCCGCCCCGGACACACGCCTGCCTCTGCAGCAGCGGCCTTGGTGAGTGAAACCCCCACCCCTCCCGGATCCCCCCCCCCGTTCCCACTCCCTGCTCTCTGAGCCCGCCTCCTCCGCTGGCAGTCTTCAGATAGATTCATGACAGCTAAATGGAACCTCCATGTTCAGAGGCAGGATATCTCTGAATACACTTTGCTAGGTGGCCACAAGAGGGGAAGTGTTTGGCCTCGTTGCCTTGGTGAGAGGCCTTCCCAGGGCATCTGCTTGGGTTCTGTGCTGGACTGCATGGGCCACTGGTCTGATCTGCTACACTGCCTTGTACGTTCTTGTTGTGGTGGGGCGATTCTGCTATCCGACTGTAACACAGAGCACCATTAGGCAAAAGTAGTTTCATAAATACTGAACCAATGTCTTCCTCTAGGGAATGTTCCAGAAACCTGAACACTCTTGGGTTTCGTTTCCTGATCAGTCACAAAGCTGGGGGGGGGGCATTCATCCCTGAGCCAGGGATCGTTCGCATGTTCTGTATCTGCAGCTCGCAGAGAGAGACGTCGGCAATGGCCACGTGGCGACTGCCCGCTCACCACTCTGCCCCACGCCAGCACACACATCTAACGACCCTTAAACAGAGAACGAACATTACATAATATATAATTTTATACTATAATATGTATAATATTATGTATATATAATATTATATATAATAATATATAATATTATATAATATAACCAGTATTAAGAATATAACAATGGCCTTTTCGATGGCCAGCATGCCCCTGAGCATGTGGGACTGTTGAACCGTAGCCGTCTCTGGAGTGAGGGGAGGGACTTCTCTTTCTGTGCAGGGTGCCAGGGTGCCCAGCCAGCTGGCCCTTAAGAGGGGGGTGTAGACCCCCCCCTACTGGGGCCAGCCTGCTCTTTTTCCGGGTGGGGGGCCTGTCCTGGCGGTGCTTCCACTCGGTCTCTGGCTGCCCTGGCAGTGCTTCTGCTCTGTCTCCCCTGGAGGCAGCTTGCTCTCTTTTCAGCAGCCACCCCCATGCTGGGATGGGCGAGTGGAAGCGGTAGAGAAGGGTGGGAAGCCGGTGGAGAGGGGGTTGGCCTTTTCCTCCCCCCCCCCCGCACAAAGGCCACAGCTCAGGGCGGCTGGCAGCTTAGCCATCTGCTGGTCCTTCTGGCAGCACCCATCTCATGGGGGAAACCACCTGCCAGCCACAAAGCCCTACTGGGTGACGGACTCCCTCGCAGTTCTAGAAGGTGGGGCTGTTGGGGAAGCTGTACTCGGAAGTCACAGGGAGCGCATCGGAGACCCAAAGGTGGCTCCTGAGCCACTGTGGCACAAAAATAGGCGGGTCTCTCTTTATTCATAGGTAAATGTCCTTGGCTAATCTTTTAAAAACAACAATTGGTTTGGTTTTACACAAATAACAATGACTCCGGAAGACACCCACACACCATTATTGATTGATCTGCAAGGTGCATAACCCACTTCTCATAAAATGTCAAACTTCGCCTCCCAAAACCTCATAAAAACGAAAGTATTAAAGACATAATAATAATAATAATAATAATACACCAAACAGAAAACTCAGGAAAGGGGCCCAGCCCTAAATCTTCCGGGCTCTCTGTGTTTCCGGGCTGTCAGGGGAGTGGCTGCCCTCCAGTGGTGAACTGCGGTATTTCTGAGGCTTTCCTGCACGCTCCGTTCTCTGGTTTCTTCTTGGCCTTCTAGGGAGGCCCCTGGACTGGGGCTGGGCTGCTACTCCTGGCTTGTGGAACAGCCGGATTCGAGTCCTGGAGTACCTTAGAGGCCAAGGAGAAGGGGAGAAGGAGATTGGATTTATACCCCGCCCTTCACTCGGCTTACAAACTCCTTTCCCTTCCCCTCCCCACAACAGACACCCGGTGAGGTGGGCGGGGCTGAGAGAGCTCTGACAGAAACGGGTCTTTTTCAAGAACAGCTCTTATCAGAACTACAGCTTGTCCAAGGCCATCCAGCCAGGTGCAAGTGCAGGAGTGGGGAATCCAACCCGCTTCTCCCAGATTAGAGTCTGCGCACTTAACCTCTCCACCAAACTGGTTTTCGAGGTAGGAACTGTCAAGAGTCAAAGCTCAGACGTACCCTGAAAATCTTCAGGTGGGGGAGCCGTGTGGGTCTGAAGCAGCTGAACAACGTCTGAGTCCAGCGGGGGCACCTTGGAGACCAGCAAGGTTTTATTGACAGTGTAAACTTTTGTGTGTCTGCACTTTGTTGGGACTCAGACTTTGTTCTCCCGAAAACCTGGTTGGTCTCTAAGCTGCTCCTGGATTCGAATCTGGCTATTCTACTAAAAACATAAGAGATGCCAATGTTGGATCAGGCCAGTGGCCCATCCAGTCCAACACTCTGTATAACACAGTGGCCAGAAATACCAGGGGCCATCAGGAGGTCCAGCAGTGGGGCCAGGACATTAGAAGCCCTCCCACTGCTGCCCCCCCCCAAGCACCAAGATGACAGAGCATCACTTGCCCCAGAGTCCCTATCTATACCTTGTGGCTAAGAGCCACTGATGGACCTCTGCTCCATATGCTTATCTAATTCCCTCTTGAAGCCGTCCATGCTTGTAGCCACCGCCACCTCCTGGGGCAGTGAATTCCAAGTGTTCATCACTCTTTGGGTGAAGAAGTACTTCCTTTTATCCGTTCTAACCCGACCGCTCAGCAATTTCATGGAGTGCCCACCACGAGTTCTTGTATGGTGAGAAAGGGAGAAAAGTACCTCTTTCTCTACCTGCTCTTTCCCATGCATAATGTTATAAACCTCAATCATGTCACCCCTCAGTGATCGTTTCTCCAAGCTAAAGAGCCCCAAGCGCCTTAACCTTTCCTCATAGGGAAAGTGTTCCAAACCTTTGATCATTTGAGTTGCCCTTTTCTGCACTTTTTCCAAAGCTATAATATCCTTTTTAAGGTGTGGTGACCAGAACTGCACACAATATTCCAAATGAGGTCGCACCATTGATTTATATAAGGGCATTATGATATTGGTTGATCTGTTTTCAATACCCTTCCTAATAATCCCAAGCATAGCATTGGCCTTCTTTATTGCAGTCACACACTGTCTCGACATTTTCAGTGAGTTATCTACTAGGACTCCAAGATCTCTCTCTTGATCAGTCTCTGACAGTTCAGACCCCATCAACATGTATTTATATTTAGGATTTTTGGCTCCAATGTGCATCACCTTGCACTTGGCCACATTGAACCCCACTTGCCATGTTGACGCCCACTTGCCCATCTTTGACAGATCCCTTTGGAGTGCCTCACAATCCTCACTGGTTTTCACCAGTGGAGGTTTTACACTGGAGACAAAGACGGTTGTCCTCGGAAGCGGCTTACTGGAGACAGACCGGGGTGGGGTCCTTCTTGCAGAAGCTTCCGTTGGCCTTGAGCTCCTCCGTGGATTCCCATTAATGTTCAGAACATCAGAAGAGCCCTGCTGGATCCGACCAGGGAGGGTCCCTCCAGTCCATAAGAACATAAGAACATAAGAGATGCCAATGTTGGATCAGGCCAAAGGCCCATCCAGTCCAACACTCTGTATCACACAGTGGCCAGAAATACCAGTGCCATCAGGAGGTCCACCAGTGGGGCCAGCATCTCTCCTCCTCACCCGGTGGCCAGCCGGCTCCTCTGGAGGGCCAACAGCAGGGCAGAGAGGCCAAGGCCTTCCCTGAGGTTGCTGAGCTTGTTAATTTTGTTCTCCAAATGCGCAAAAGAGAAATATTGTAACTGATGGACGGCTTCAAAAGGGAATTAGATAAGCATATGGAGCAGAGGTCCATCAGTGGCTATTAGCCACAAGGCATAGATAGGGGCTCTTGGGCAAGTGATGCTCTGTCATCTTGGTGCTTGGGGGGGTCAACAGTGGGAGGGCTCCTAGTGTCCTGGCCCCACTGGTGGGCCTCCTGATGGCCCCCGGTATTTCTGGCCACTGTGTGACACAGAGTGTTGGACTGGAGGGGCCTTTGGCCTGATCCAACATTGGCATCTCTTATGTTCTTATGTAAATATTGAGAATGTGTCCAAAGGCAGCAGCGTTACCACTGCTGAGTAAATGCAGTTGTTATTTGCCGTGGGCGGGGGGAGGCCTGCCTGCCTGCCTGCTCCCAGGGGGTGTCCTGTGCCTCCCACCAGCATTGAGGCTGGGGGGGGGGCGTTGTGCGTTGAGTGTCACAATCAATGCCCCCTCTAAGCCCTGGAGTCTTGTGAGCAAAAATCCTACTTGGTGAGCTGCTGGCATTCAAGTTGTGAGCGAGCGATTGGGCTGCTCTGCGTAAATCAGTTTGCTCCGGAGCCCCATCCTTCCTGAGCTAAGGTGAGAATGAGTGAGCCGGAGGCTAAAAGACTGTGAGCCAGCTCGCACTAACTCAGCTTAGAGGGAACACCGGTCACAATAGGATTTGGGGGACCAGAATTCAAATCCCCAGTCAGCCACAGAAAAAGCCTGCTAAGTGCCATTGGTCCACTCATCCTACCCTGCCTCACAGGGTTGTTGTGAGGATAAAATTGACTTTGTTTGTATTTACGCTATTTACACCCTGCCTTTCGCCAATGCTGGATCAGGCCAGAGGCCCATCCAGTCCAACACTCGGTCACACAGTAGCCAAAAACACCAGGTGCCACCAGGAGGTCCAGCAGTGGGGCCAGGACACCAGAAGCCCTCCCACTGTTGACCCCCCCCCCCCCAACACCCCAATAAAAAGCATAACCTGCCCCAGACTGAGAGTTCCTATCTATACTTTATGGCTCATAGCCACCGATGGACCTCTGCTCAAGATGTTTATCTAATTCCCTCTTGAAGCCGTCGGTGCTTGTAGCTGCCGCCACCTCCTGTGGCAGTGAATCCCATGTGTGAATCACTCTTTGGGTGAAGAAGGACTTCCTTTTATCCGTTCTAATGGAACTGCTCAGCAATTTCATGGAGTGCCCACGAGTTCTTTGTGTTGTGAGAAAGGGAGAAAAATACCTTTTCCCTACCTGCTCTATCCCATGCATAACCTTATAAGCCTTGATCATGTCACCCCTCAGCCGTCGTTTCTCTAAGTTAAAGAGCCCTAAGCACCTTAACCTTTCCTCATAGGGAAAGTGTTCCAACCCTTTGATCATTCCAGTTTCCCTTTTCTGCACTTTCTCCAATGCTATAATATCCTTTTTAAGGTGTGGTGACCAGTATTCCCCTGTTCCCTGCGTTTCCTCGCCTTTCCTCCCCACCGTGTTCTCTGTTCATGCCTTTCTCTCTCTCCCCTCCCCGTCCCCGCCCCCCGTCAGGGAGTCCTGGCCACGTCCCGCACAAATGCAGCAGCACCAAGCACCGCATCATCTCCCCGAAGGTGGAGGTCCGCCCTTCTCCCTACCCGGCCCTGACGGAGGTCCAGAACATTTCGGGCGGCGCGGAGGCGAAAGCCGAGCCCGAACCGGCCAAGTCGTCCGGATCGGACAAAGACTCGAAGCTGGCCAAGGCCCTTCCGCCCAGCCTGGCCGACGCCCGTCCCGACTCCTCCACGCAGCCCTCGCCCGGCCTGGCGCAACCCGAGGGCTGCCCCAAACAGGAGCCGCCGGCCGTCACGCTCTCCGTCAGCCTCCCGGGGAGCACCATTTTGGTCATGACTGGCCTGGGGGGCGCGGAAAAGCCTCTGGCGTTCACCCCTAGCCAGCGCCTGGTCCCTGGAGATGGGGGCGGGACACCGGCCGCCCCTCTGGGCTTAGCCCTCCTGCCTGGACCGGGCCTGGTCCTCTCGCAGAACCTGGAGGCCACCATGGAGACGAACGAAGAGGGCACCGAGACCTTTGACCCGGACTGCTTCCTGAACAGCCCCAAACAGGGGCAGACCTATGGGGGCGGGGCGGGCCTCCAAGCCAAACCGGAGCCCCCGGAGGCTTCCGCCCCGCCCGTTTACTCTCTCTTTGTGTCCACGAACCGCTTCTTCATCCAAGACGACGGAGCCGGACAAGTGCCAATGCCGCCTTCGCCCCCCGCCGCCGAGGGGACGGAGGCGAAGAACCGTCCCGAGACCCCCATGGAGACTGCGGGAGAAGGGGGCTCGCAGGCGGAGCAGGCGCTGGGCCAGAGCGGGGGCCCGGCTGAGGAGGCGGCGACGATGGCCGCGTCAGAACTCCAAGAAGAGCTGTACTCCATCATCCAGACGGCGGCCGCTGCGGCGGCAGGCAGCTCCTTCGGCCTCTCCTTCGACAGCCACTTCCCAGACCTCATGAGCGAGCTGATGACCGACGAGCCGGGGCCTGGCAGCATGCCCGGCCCCAAGGAAGGCAGTGCCGGCCCCAGCAGCCCTGCCTTGGTCCTGCCCGAGACCCTTGCCCCGCCTGGCTATGGGGCAGAAGGAGCCCCCCGGGGCTGCCCCCAGCCGCTGGTGCCCATCACCGACTTCTCGCCTGAGTGGTCCTACCCAGAGGTGGGTGCGAGGGCAGGGAGGTCGCTGGGCCCACATGGCAGGACGGTGGGGCTGGTGGGCCTTCTGGAAGGGGAAGGGGCCTTGTGGCTTAGCTCAAGGGAGGGGGGGCAGTCAGGGTGCTGGTGGGGGTGGGGTGGGGGGGATTAATGAGCCCCTGGCTGGGTTTTGCCGAAAAGGGACTGGGCCGTCCTTCTCCCGTGACCTTTTCTCCTCTCTCCTCTCGCGGTTGTCTTTCCTGTGGGAGCAGGGCGGGGTCAAGGTGCTCATCACAGGCCCCTGGACAGATGAGGCGGAGCCCTACTCCTGCCTCTTCGACCAGATCTCGGTCCCCGCGTCCCTCATCCAGTCGGGGGTGCTGAGGTGCTACTGCCCAGGTATGGGGCCCCGGGTGGGGAGGGCCCGCCCTCTCGTTGTGTGGGGGGTGGGGGCATGCTGCCTGCCTCCCCGCAGGTGCGGGCGCAACGGCTGGCTTTGCTCAGGGGACTCTCTCCCCGCTTTCCTCCTCGCACAGCCCACGAGGCAGGCGTGGTGCCCCTGCAAGTGGCTCATGATTCCCGCCTGGTCTCCATGTCGGTTCTCTTCGAGTACCGGGCCCGGAACTTCATGGCGCTGCCCAGCACCCAGCTGGACTGGCTCTCCTTGGACGGTGAGTGGGCCCTCCGTTGACGCGGTGGGGCGCTTGGCTTTACCCAGGGCACTGGGAGCGGAGCAAGGTCAGAGGGAGGGAGGGAGGGAGTGCTCTCAGAGGGGGGCAGGAGGGTTCCCCGAGTGGGTGAGGAGAGGTGCCTGGATCCCAAGCCAGCCGGCCTGCCTGCCTGCCGACTGAGCCCCTCCGCACCCGTCTCTGCACGTCCCTCGTGCCTGCACCCCTCCCCTCCGGGGGAGTTCAAGAGTCCCCCCCGTTCCCTGAATGCTCACGCCCTTTGCGTCGCCGGACAGGCACGCATCGGAGCCAAAGCCGAGCTGCCCAAGGTCCGTTCTTGGCGGGGGGGGGGTGCTCAAGCCCTCGGGATTGTTTGTGGCTGAGTGCCGGGAAATCTGGCGGTGGCGGCCGCAGCAGCAGCAGCTGAGTGTCCAGGTCTCGGCCCAGGGCCAGTCCCAGGGTGTCACCTTACGGGGAGGGGGATGTTGCTGGCACGCTGGAAACTGGAGGGCTGGAAGGAAGGAGAGGGTCACGACTTTCCATGACGGGGGCACAGCGGGCCAGGAATAACACCCCGGAGGCCTGGCTCCCCTCCAAGGGAAGCCGAGAGAGTCCTTGACCCCTGTCCCTCCCCCACCCTCCTCCTCCTGAAGAACCCCGGTGTCCTGGCTCCAAGAATGGGCCTGGGCCCCCTTTTCCGTTGCCCCGGTTTGGCTCTGCCCGTCCCTGCCTGCACGCCCGCTCCTCTTCAAGGGATCCGTGGCGTGTCAGGCAGTGTCCTGGCTCTGTCCTCGTGGGCCTCTGTGAGCTTTTGAAGCCGCCTCCCCCACGGAGTGGGACCCCCAGTCCCTCCGGCCACGGCTCGCCTCCTCTGCTTGGGTTTCTAAACTGAAAAGTGCCCTCAGGCCTGTCCTCCTCTCAGTCGGGGCTTGAACCCAGGGCCTGGCTAGGGTTGCCAACTCCAGGTTGGGGGATCCCTGGAGACTCGGAGGTGGCGCTTGGGAAAGAGCAGGATCCCAGCGGGGCGTAAGGCCACAGAATCCACCCTCAAACACAGTCTTGTTTTAATTGTATTTATTTTTGGATTTCTATCCCGCCCTCCCCAAAGGCTCAGCCGTTTTCTCCACGGGAAAGGCTCTCAGTTGTCTGGAGAGTCCAGTTGTCACTGCAGGAGGTCTCCAGGGCCCACCTGGAAACTGGCAACCCTAGGCCTGGCACAGGCAGTCCCTGCACACCCAGTCCCCCCTTTCACACAGGGCGAGTGGGTGAGATGGCCGCTCTCTGTCCATGCCGGTTTCCTTGCTGGGGAGCATGGGGGAGCCCCCCCGCCGTCCGTCCGTCCTCTGCGCCTGCTGGTCCTCTGTTCCAGAAGCCCCCCCCCCAATATGAGCAGCCCCCCCACCCAGTCATCGCTTGAATCAGCGCCCACCACGGCTCCCAGATAGGTGCACACATCATCCCAGGAGTTGTCCTTATGCCTCAGCCAATCCCCCCCCCTCCCCCCCGCGGTGCGTTTTCAGCCCAGCCTGCAAAGGGGCTTGTGGGGGTCGGAGAGGGCCCGGGGTGGGGTGGGGTCTGTCACAGTTTCCGTGTTGCCTGTGGCTGCAAGGTGGGCGAGCAGAGGGGCCCATCCAGGTTCGAGCAGGCGGTTCCCCCAGCTGCCACAAGGAAGCGGGTATTGTGCTGGAAGGGTGGGGTGGCGCTGCAGCCGCCCCCCCCCCCGCAAGGATCACGAACTCAGGGCTCCTATGGCAGCCGGCCGCATCACACACACACACACCTGTTTAATCAAGGAGCAAAGAGGCACCTGGATTTCTAGACTGGGGCCTCGCACAGAGAGCCGGCATGTGTTGCAGTGCTCAGAGTGTTGGCGCAGGATCTGGGAGAGCCGGGTTCGGATCCCCGCTCTGCCTTGGAAGCTTGCTGGGTGACCTCGGGCCAGTCACTCTCTCTCAGCCTAGCCTACCTTGCAGGGATGTTGTGGAGATAAAACGGAGGAGAACGGGCGTTTGAGCCGGCAGGCATCTTTTAAGAGGAGTGGGGAGGGAGAGGTTTGGGGTTGTTTTATTTTTGGTTTTTAACCATTACTGTAAACTGCTTCCAAGGACAAGGAAAGGTGTGATCAAAATGATTAGGTAAATTGTTAAAAACGGTGCAAGCCGCTTTGGGTCCCCTTGGGGGGGGAGGGAGGAAGGGTATAAAGGGGGCCACAGTGGCTGAATGACACACATGGGTGAGGACACCTGCCAGGCCTTGGGGGTGAGAAGCAGCCGCATTGGGGAAGGGGGGGTGCGGTGTGAAATAGGGGGGGCGGGGGGGATCGCGATCCCTG